ACTTGCTCAGATATAAAAATTTTAGTAGAAGCTTCCATCTTTCAATCTATTTCCCTATGGAAAAGCTGCAACTTTTTTTTAAAAAAAAAATTAAGTTGCTTTGAATTTAATGTTATCATAGGGAAATAAGATATAAGAATGCAAATATTGCAATAACTTGAATTTTAAAAACACAGGCGTTTGAATGTAAACTTAGCAGAATTTGCCCACCAGTGAATTAATGAACACCTTAAAGTGATTAAGTCTACCAATCTGTAACTGGTATTTAATTCTGTTAAAATGCCCTATTCCAAAGCTGCACAGCCACTCAGCAAAATTTTCAAACCTGGTTTGTGGTATCAGTTTAAAGAAAAAAATTCTCACTTTGGGGTGTGTGTGTGCCTTTGTACCATGCCTAAAGGAGCTCTTCAGTTTATGACCAAAGTCAGCGTGTGTCCAATTTTGCGGATCAGCCACAGCTGATACAGGCTGGGAATGAGAAGTTTCATTTTATATTGGGCAAGTAGGCAGTGTCATCCTTATTCTGCAGCTTTTTCTCAAACCTGCTTGGGTGAGAGAGAACTCAATTCAGAGGAGGTGAAAGATTTATGCCCACTTGTGATGAGGCAGGGATCCATCTTCATAAGGTGACATGCGATGGGTTGAAGAAAGCAAAGCAAGTAATTTGATATTGGGCCAACATCTTTTTTATAAATAAAATGAGCTGTTTTATTGATACGATTTTTAAAAAAAAAACAACCCAAAAAAACCCCCAGCCCTAATATTTATAGCCACTGAATGCTATCATACTTTGAATAGGTTTCAGAACTCTAATGGGAAAATGTTTTGAAATATATATAACATTTTATAGGTTTTTCTATATGTGCATAAAACATCATAAAATAACAAATAAAAATGAATTATAACAAAAGGCATGTTTGGAATTGTAGCTCTTGCTGCTAATTAAGTCTGCTCAAATCAGCCCAACTACGTCCCTGTCTATCTCCTAATAAAAAGATCCCTGGATCAGGCCAGAGATGTATCCAAATCAGCATCCTGTCCTCACTGCAGTTAGCCACAAAACCTAAATGCAGAACAAGAGTCACACCTTTTCTCTTTCCGTGATAACAACTATTGGCAGCCATACAGTTTCCTTTACAAAAAGTAACATATAGTCATGATGATTAGAAATTATTGATAGTCTTCAGGTTTATTAGACAACCAAGTTCACAGGCCTTCTACAGTTTGTGGCCAAGCACAAAAGAATGCAATTGTAATTTGCTTAGTTGCAATAGTTGAATTCAACATTAAGAAAACCAAAATCGTGGCATCCAGCCCTCTCAATTCCTGGCAAATAGATGGGGAAGAAATGGAGGTAGTGGCAGATTTTATTTTTCTGGGCTCCAAGATCACCTCAGATGGGGACTGCAGCCAAGAAATTAAAAGACGCTTGCTCCTGGGGAGGAAAGCCATGGCAAATCTAGACAGCATACTAAAAAGCAGAGACATCATCCTGCCAACAAAAGTGTGTATAGTCAAGGCCATGGTTTTCCCAGTTGCAATGTATGGATGTGAAAGTTGGACCATAAGAAAGGCTGAGCGACAAAGAATTGAGGTCTTTGAACTATGGTGCTGGAGAAGACTCCTGTGAATCCCTTGGACTGCAAGGCGTTCAAACCGGTCAGTCCTAGAAGAGATCAACCCCAACTGCTCTTTAGAAGGCCAGATCCTGAAGTTGAAACTCAAATACTTTGGCCACCTAATGAGAAGGAAGGACTCACTGGAGAAGGGCCTAATGCTGGGAAAGATTGAGGGCAATAGAAGAAGGGGACGACAGAGAATGAGATGGCTGGATGGAGTCACTGAAGTAGTAGGTGCGAACTTAAATGGACTCCAGAAGATGGTAGAGGACAGGAAGACCTGGAGGAACATTGTCCATGGGGTTGCGATGGGTCGGACACGACTTTGCAATTAACAACAACAAATAGTTGAATTGTCTTGGTAATGAGGCTATGTGGTACTACCTAATGGTTTCCTATGGGACTAATTAAGATAGCAGCAGAATAAGCATCCAACAGTTCTCCCTAACTTGCCATAGCTTTGGGATTGGGAAGAAAGAGAGTTTTGACTGAGTTAGATCCACAGTTTTAACTATCTGTCTAAAGCTAATATGGGGGTAAAATGGGCCTCCTGATAAAAGGAGAAGAGGCTCCCCTCTTACGTCATCCAGATGATACCTATGAGAGAATCCAGATTCTCTCACACATACACTTTTTTCCTTTGTCCAGCTTCTGCTCCCTCAGTTTTTCTCTGACCCATCCCACATTCTTAACACTCCCCCTCTTACTTGCTCTATTGTTCTCTCCCTCACTTGCTCTCTCTTCTTGCTCACTTGTCTCCTTCTAATGCTTGCACTATTGCTATCACTTGCTTTTACTCATCTTGTCTTTTGCACTCTTTCTCATTCTGCTGCTTGCTCTATTGCTCCATCCTCTGTGTCTTGTGTTCTATCACTCAGATTGCTCAGTCTCTCTTGCCTCGTCTAAGGCAGTTGACCAAGAGCTGTAATCAGGTGTTGGTATGTACTCTGCCATTGCCCAAGTCAAAATAACCATAAAGAAAGTCACCAGGAACTACAGAAGAGAGGAGGTGCCTACAGTTGTTAACAACAGCTGGACAGATTTCAGACTTTGCCTCATCATCACTAGAGTTCTCACCAAAACATTACACATCGTGCATAGAATACAAGTGGAAAAAGATAGAAAAGACTTATGTAGATAGGTAGCCTCGGCAATTGGATGGAGAGTTCAAAGGATGTATCCTTTAAAAAACAGACGGCAAGGAATCTTTGAGCCAAAAAGTGTAGATATACCTGACCTTTCATGAATCAATCTAACACTTTTAAGTCAGCTAAGCTAGTAGCCATGGTATCTATAGCAAAGAATTCTACACATTTCGTACTTTGTGAAAAAGTTCTTCCTGTCTTCAATCTCTCACTATCCAGCTTTGTTTGATTAATTCTGAGGGAAAGATGCATCATTCTTTATCATTTCATCCTTCTTTTCGTAAACTGAAAAGTATCAAATGTTATACCATTCCTTCACAGTGATCTTCTTCCATCTCTCTGATAAACTGAAGTATCTTTTTTCTAAATCTTTCTCAGTAGTATCATAAATCTTTTTCTAGAATATATAAATCCAACTTTGATAGAACTATGCACCCGTACAACCGCTATGGCACTGGACACTTTGTTTTTAATCTGAAGGTAGTATTTTCAGCTCTTTGCTGTTCTGTTTTAAATACTCTAAATATACTGATTTGAAAATATGACTATTGAGGTAGTCAGTTTGCTAAACGGACTACTTCAATCGTCATATTTTCAAATCTTGGATGAACAAGTGAAAAAACATAGCCTTGAGACGGGCTTTCCTTCCTTTATTCCTGCAGTTTCTTTTTCTTCTATTAGTTACCAGTTCAGAAAAAAAAACTGAATTTTGGAAAAATGATTTAATTTTTTGGATTTATAATCAGTAAAGCCATGTTGAACATTTGACCATTTCTATAGATGCACTTGCTTTAAAGCCTTAAAGAAAAATACTTGACTAGTACCAGTGGGCTCTGTGAAGCAACTGTTTTTGACTCCTTTGTGCAGACTTAGCAATCAAATAAATGAGATACTAATGTGCTTAATTTCAGAACAATTCTGCATTTTATGATCTTTATCTTTTTGTAATTAATTAAAAAATAAAGACATTGGTGGTTTAAGAAATTTTAGTGATGTATTTTAATAAATGCCTTAATATCCCTCAAATAAACTGGGATGGGCAATGTGCAACCTTCCAGTTTTGGGGGCTTAGGTTTATTTCTAGGTTTTCTCTGCTGGCTAGGATATAACTTTATTATCCATAGTCATTATTATAAGAAAAACTAATTCTATTTTGGGCTATTATATGAGATGGGTTGGGTGTCTTATTGCAATTTATCTAGAGCTGAGTGCTATAGGACTAAATGTAACTTACCTTTAGGAAGATATGGATAAGATTATGTTAATTACAGACTTGTCAAGTACAAACAATCAGACCCACACATGCAGAGCTCAAACTAGCTACATTATTGTTCCCTGCCTATCGAACAGGAATCTACTGTAAACAAAAACTGTAGTTTGCCTGAGAAAAACTAGATAAAGTTCAAAGGCATTTGGGGACGCGTGTGTGTGTGTGTGTGTGTGTGTGTGTGTTGAACTTGTTCTCTTGTATTTACATAACAAGTCCATACTAATTCCCCACTTCAGCCCTCCTCCCAACGGGATGGTTGCTCTCCAAGACTAGTTCTTTAAATCAAGATCCACTTTTTTCATCTGGAAAAATTGGGAATTAAGCAGACCTGAAATCAACTTTATGGGGTCCTTGATGCTCCCTGAGCTTGATTGTTTTCTTGCAGACATTTCATTACCCAACTAGGTAACACGGTCAGAGCTAAAGTGCTAAATCTAGTTTTGTTCACACACCATCTTGTACATGAATTACAGTCAAAACATTCTCTGCCTGCAGTATCTTAAAAAAAATTAGAAAAAGAAAAAAGGGTAAGAATGGCAGAAGAGAATAAGTAAACTGAAGCATTAATTTATGCTATGACATAATTGTTATAATCACCAGATTGAGTGAAACTATTTAGGGAAGAGTGCACCAAACAGAAATGGATTTCTGAACACTGCAGGAAGGAAGGTGCTGTCAGAGAGCAGAAAGACCATTCTTATTTCTTAGATGAAGACACCCCTTCACACCACCTCTCTTTCTGCAACCAGACTTTTAACATATATTTATATACAAATATGTCTTAAAAGTATTATGATGCATTGTTGAACTCCCGTTATATTAGATGTTAAATCCTGTTATTTTATATTTTAGTTATGCTTCAAAGCTGGGCTGGCAAATTACCAGATAAAATATCCATATGTCTACTAGTTCGAACCAGGCAGGTCTCTCACCTGCCATGAACGTTTTAGTCCTGGATTGACATACCTGCTTTTCCAACAAAGGCAGCTAAAAACATAGAAGAAACACAAAACAAATTAATTGAAAACACACTTGACCAGACGTCTATGCCAGTATAAGAGAACACAGAGCCAGTTTGGTCTAGTGCAGGGGTAGGCAACCCAAAACACTCAAAGAGCCACTTGGACCCGTTTCCCACCAAAAACAAAACACTGGGAGCCGCAAAACCCTTTTGATATCTAAAATGAAGATAACACTGCATATATCCTTTTTTACCTTTATTATAGGTGTGTGTATGTGTGTGTGTGTATATGTGTATATATATATACACACACACAGACACACACACACATATACACATTAAAAATAAAAGTAAAAATATGACTCTTGGGAATATCCATACTATTAAAACAATGATCACCAAGAGAATTCTTTAAGAGAATAAAATTACATACACACATAGGTTAAAAAAAGGATATATGCAGTGTTATCTTCATTTTAGATGTCAAAAGGGTCTCTCTCCCCCTCCCTCTCTATCTGCCCTTGGTCTGCCACTCCTCTTCCCCACTCTCTCTCCCCCCCCTCTCTCTTTCTCTCTCTCTCTTTCTCCCCCCCCCCTCCTATCTGCTACTCACCTGGCAAGCTTCAAGCTGTTGTCCAACAACCTCGGGTAGGCAACCTCGTCTCTTTTATGACTCATGGACTTCAACTCCCAGAATTCCTGAGTCAGCCTAGCTGGGCTAGCTAGCTCTCTCCTGCCCTTCCTGCTTCCTGCTTCCTTCAGAGACGCAGCAAAGGGAGGAGCTCCGCCCAGAAAG